AACATAGCACTGTGAATTAAAATGTACTCAACGGAGGAACACGTACTGTACCACGAAATAGAAGAAACGAAAAAGGAAGTCGTGACTGTGGGGCAGTCAGGTGGGACTGAAAGGAGTCGATCGTGGCCACTAAGAAAGGTCGTCATCATCGATCGAGATCATAACTATTAATCCTTCTCAGGCACGGCACGCTTGGCGTTGGGGACCATTTACTTAATACGAGTCCCCATATCTTCCTCTAGAGTTCGCTGCTGAGCATCGTGGGGCGGGGGGGGGGCCAAGGTGAGTACCTACGATTTGGAATCAGAAATGGTCAATTCAGCTCAGCAGGAATAGCGAGATCGGTTAGGAGGAGGGGAGTTTGAAGCCCATAGCGCGTGTGAAAGGGTAAACCCTATTCCTTCTCTTTCCTCACTCCTCCACAGCAAAGATAGCGGAAAAGCGAAGGGCGCACCAATGACGTCGTTCTGGTGTCTTCAAGCCCTGCTTGAAGACACCAGAAGGATATCTGTTCTAGGAGGGATCGCATTTGTAGAATTTCGTTTTTTTGAGTACATGTTCGGATTTATTTCAGGTACGTGATCTTCTGAAACAAGCCCTGCAACTAAAAAGGTAAGTGATTTTATGGGCCGAATGGTCCATTTATATGGGAGGTATATTATTAGCGATTCCTGATATACTGCTTCCAAAAACTTTTATTTGACCTTTTTTTACAGTATTATAGATTGACTGTATCAGAATGGCATTAAATGGGCATAGACGCAAACACGTCTAGTTGTATGCGCTCTGCCTCTCCACAGTACAATGAACATTTTTAGCGAAAAATTAACGTGTGAAAATCTCCAAATTTTTAAAAATGTTGAAAATGCTCCAGTAGGATTCTCCACATTGACAAGGAACACTGATAAAACTCAAATCATCACATAATTACATTTGTTACGATATGCGCATCCTATCCTATGCATAAATTTTAGAGAAGAAACAGTTGAGCGACGATTAAGCGTGCGGTTGCATCGCGGCAATGTAATGCCGCTGCGCAACCGCACGCATCGTACAAATCCCGCCTAGGCATTGCTCGAAATAGGAACTGCTATGTGACCGGTACTGAGGTAGAGCAAAAAAACCTTGTTCTAGACATGCATTCGGAAGCTTAAGGTCGCAGTCCATGGTGGTTTGGGCGGAGGATAGACAACCAATAACCTTACTCATGGGCGCGCCTCTCACCTCTCCAGAACAGAAAAAGAGGAGCACCAGTGACGAAGGCATAGTTCTTGGCTTCCTCCGCCCAAACGACCACCGTGGATTGGGCCTACGTGAAGCTGAGAGGAAGATGAAGCTATGCAGGAAGAATCAAAATGCGCACTACTAAATAATGCAGCTTACTTTTCGTTAGGGTTGGTCCCTCACGAGGGTTTCGGGCGCAGTTCGGCGACGTGGGGGCATTTTGCACTTTCGTTGCTTCACTAGTTCCGGTTTACAAGTCTCACTCTGGTGAAACCTGTGAACTCTTGTGAAGCTGGAGCAAGCTCGTCGAGCCATCATGGTAAAACCTGTCAACTCTTGTAAGCTCATGAAATAGCTCTCTAGATGGCTCGACACGTCGATAAGAAGTAGCAAAAGTGCAAAATGCCTCTCCACCACGTCGGCGAAGCTGCGCCAAGTTTTTGACCTTAGCTCCTGGGAAGTAATATTCAGAGGCTACTGCTTTGGCACGGGGAAGGAAACATCTGAAAAAATCTTTGTGCATTTATACTCTTCAAATGTCGCTGTCCATAATATTCTTAATCGGCTGTGCTGGTTGATCGGGCCAGTTATTTAATGGCGCTGGCGTCACCGTTGAGGCTGTCGAAATCGGACGCGGTTGTGTCGTCGTAACTGGTACCAAATTCGGTGTGATGACTGGTTGTTGTTCTGAAAAGAGGTTAGGTACTAAAACCAAAGCATCGAGAGTGTGGGCCAGGAGATTCGAGTGGGGGCAAATCGTGAAAATTAGCTTGACGCACGCAGCAAATTCACTTTCAACTAAGACTTCGTGAGAATGTCGCTGGCAAAAGTGCCCGTGCGGCGCTGCCGCAACTCGGATCTCCTGACCCGCACCACTGTCAGGGTGTTGCATAGCAATATTTGGTACGATACTTACGACGTGGCGAAAGCGAATCGAGTCGCAAGGGTGGTTGAGTATCCTGCGTGCGATAGGACGGTATTCCAAGACGAGGGTCTGGAATCAGTCTTAGTGTAATTCGCTTGAAGGTACATTGCACGATAACTGGATGGGCAGAGGCACCCAGCCACAGTGCCCTTCTCGTGATGTGTCGTTCCTTTCGGTGCCGTCAAGGGAAGGGAGCGGGTCTCTCAGTACCGTAAAGGGAGGTGTGGAGGAAGGGGGAGTGTTGCTGAGAGTCCCCGCCCAACCAGTTATCGTGCAATGCGTTTCTTATATTATGAACAGTGGTCAATTGATTGAGAACGCTTACTTGAGGCCGGACTGCTGAGTGTGCCACCATTGTCGTAATATACGGTGTTGCGATTAGGAACTGGCTGAAATTTTCAAATAGTTTTTCAGTTTCGAAATGGTACAGTTGTGAAAGAACATAGATTTTCGAGGGGCAGTTAGGTGACGGGAGGTGGGGGGGGCATTTTGCACCTCTGCTACTTTCCATCGACTTTAGACCCATTCGGAAAACTATTTCATGAGTTTACTAGAGTTGACAGGATTAACGTGGTGGCTTTACGAGCTTGCTCTAGCTTCACAAGAGTTCACAGGTTTCACCAGAGTGAGACAAACCGGAACTAGTGAAGCAGCGAAAGTGCAAAATGCCCCCCCCCCTCTTCGCCCACCAGCGCAAATTTTCGCTACTTCAGCTTTTTTAGGTTTATATTTTGAAGTTCTTATTTGATTGTTTTGGTGCTAATTAACGGAAAAATGGCTGTCAAACAAAGTGAAATGTCTAGAACCAACGAAATAACTCCGTTCGGCCGCCGCCTAAAAACTTACATGGCTGATATCACGAGTTGGATACATGCCAGCAGCTCTGAGTTTTGATTTCTTGTAACACCGAACGACGAAAAGCCACGAGGATTGCTCCAAGTAGAAGACCCTAAAACTTATTCATACGTCGAATCATTGCTATGAAACCTATCACAGAATAATCAGGTGGAATAAAATCTGACCTCAGTAACTGCGAACACGACGGCTTGAGTGTTTTTGTTCACATAAGTTGGTGCTTGACCTGTTTGGAATTGAATATAACCGACAGTGACGGTGACGTTGATAGGAGTGGGAGGCTTCACTGTCGTCGCTGCCGCTTTTGTCGTCGGATCAGCGGGTTTCTTAGTTGTCTGAGGCTTTTCGGTGGTTGTGCTGGAGTGAACGACAATGGAACGATTTTTAAACTGACATAGAGAAAACTTGTGCTATTTGGTGGGACGGTTTCAAAGATGAGTATCTTCTTGGTGCGGATCCGATCCCATGCTTTTGCCAGGGCAGTACGGCGCATTTCTCTACTGCTCTTGCCCCGCCCGTGTTTCCAGGGCACATCGTCGTTGCGCGAAACAGCGGAGCTCTATTTGACCGCTGGGGAGAGGGTATTCATCCTTTAGATTTTTTCGAATATTAATTTTCCTGTTTCACGCGCGCTATACCCCTCGGGGTCGTATTTGACAGGGAACATCGTTGTTGGGGAATCCCCAATAGGGGGTCGTATTTGGCCGCCAGGAGAGGGGGCTCGTATTTGGACATTGTTGGGAGGGAGGGAGGGAGTCGTATTTACGTTTTGGCGTTGTAGGAGTGGTGGTTGACTTTTGGTGATTTTCCTGTTTCATGCGTACTATATGCCCCTACGCTCGACGGCTCGATTCGATGAGGAAGAACAGGGGGCCGGAGGGGGGGGTCGTACCACCCCCCCCCAACAAAAAGCGGGGGTGACAGACTCGACAAATCCCCAACCAATGATGAGGCCCTGGTATTCGATCCAAGAAAAAAATTTTTGGTGGTGATTTTTCTTGTTTCAGGGACGCTTTACAGGGGGCGGGGTCATAATTGCTCGTTGTTGAGGGAGGGGGTTGTATTTGCCTACTGGTTTTCTGAAAGTTATGGAAGAGGCTGCTAGCTTTTCGTGGTTTCTCAGTATTTCATATGTACTATAGAACCCCTTCGATAGCAAAATTTTTAGAGAAAAAGTAGGAAAATTTTCGGGAAAATCTGGAAAAACTTGTAGGAAGATGGGAAGTTCAAGAAAAAGGTAGGTAGGATGAGGAAGTAGGGGGAGGGTGGTACCAACCCCCTAAAGAAGGGGAAGGGATCGCACGGACGAACGAATTCCCAACTAATGATGTGCCCTGTCTAACAGTTTGTCAGTGGTATATAGGTCCCACTCGAAAGCAGGATTTCGGCAAGACAGTGAGTACATTGTGAGTGGGGTTGACCCGACTCCACCATACATGGCCACCATCTCGGTCAAAAATAAGAAATTAATATGATCTATCATGAGAATAAAATATATTCAGAGTAACTTACGTTGCATTTGCTGCTGCCTCGGCAGGTTCTGAAAGAAATAGGGACTTAAATAAAAAAAATGACTGCAGTATTAAACGTAAATAGATCACAATGTTCAGATTGGAGCACAGTAGAATCCCTGCTGTCAAAGCCACGATTTTGAAGGCCTGACCCTAACAGTCGGGAAATGAAAGCTTCTGCTCGTGTCCCGCCGTGTAAAAGATCTTCATAATGTCTGCACCCAGTCAGCATTAGGCTCTTGGGCGCTAACAACTTGGAGGGGGGCAGCTTCAAGGACTTCAGCGAAAGTAAAAGAACCTTAATGAAGATGTGGGATATTGCCTGAACCTACATTGTTGTCACTTACCCCTTCGAAACTTGGTGGAGAACAGACTAGTAGCGACGCGCCAAACCCAACTACCCTGACTCACTACACCATCCAAACCGAGTGAGACTGTACAGTCTTCAGTGAACAGGCGGTGGAGCGAAATGGCGCTCACTGGCGTCAAATGGCTTAAAGGCAGCGTCCGCGATCAACCAAAGTGAAAAACCCTCCAATGAAAACGAACGCGGAGTACGCAACCACAGCGGAAATCCCACTCTTGCGGCTCGAAATCGATTGGTTGACGAGGGCGGAGTCAACAAGGCTGAGCTGACGCCTCCTTCCCTGTTAATCCCGCCCCGACTGGTTAACAGTTATCAGTGCTTGCTGGCATTGATAAACGCTAAGTTTCTGGAGTTCCGAGCCGGCGACGTGTATTGGAGAACTCACCAAAGGTCTGCGAAACTCGTCCACATGCCTTAAATTTCGTAGGGTCTTATTTCACGCTCTTCCACACCTTTTTCCTACTTTTTTTTGATTAGTGCTTCATTGGCCACCTGTTCTAACAAATTTGACCCCTGAGACCTGCCAAAGTCCATCGCGGGCGCTGTCTTTAAGTATGAACCGGAGTCATAATCCGTGGTGAAACCCTCGCGATTACTTTCGGAATCTCTTGCGGTGAACTTGTTGAAAAAGTGGTAGAGCCAGAAGCGGTTATCGTATTCGTGACCAGGGCACCGAAAAGCTCAATAGGCGCAATTTTAGCGAAGAATGTTTGTGTATTTGGAGTGAAATAGGGCCGTTAACTTTTCATGCGGTACCCTTCCATGGACAAAACTGCTATCAGGTTATCACAAAAAATCTATAAGGGGTAAAACGTACCTAGAAATGGTTGTTGCTGTTGCAAGTTGTCGTCATCAGCAGCAAATGCCTTTTCTGGAAAACGCTATAGTTCTGTTGCTTTTCAGAGCTTTTCACTTATTGGGAAAATCTCTCAATGATGATATTTCGAATGTTCAAAGTGAACACTAGACCAATTCAAGGAGGATGCTAAGCCATATGCTCGGATTGCCAGCCCAGGCCGGACCGAGCGCGTTTATACATCAGCTTGTTCCAGCATGTAATTATGCAATGTGGCAAAATCGCATCCGAATATCACGTACGATCAGAATGGAGGTTGCAGTAGGAATAGGGTGTAGGATGCTGACAGCTCCGACGAGTAACCAATACCACAGGCATCGCGATGGTAAATGCGGGGTGAATACGCCCTAACTTTCTCTTCGGTCGGCAAACGATTTTTTCTCGAAACCGGTAGCCAGCCCATCCACTTCAGCTAGAAACACGCCCTTTCCCCGTGGAATTAGTAAAAAGTATCCCCAAAAAGGCGCGTTCTTGCGCCGGGTTCAAACGGGTGCAGCAGCCATGCCTCACCACATTTTCTAGATATGAAGCGTATATGTTGAAATTCAAGGCTGGAAGGGCTACTTTTACCAGTTTCGCTATGTTGTACAATACTCGTCGCGATGAGTGGTTTTGTCCAATATATCTTCGAGTGTGAACGATGACGTCAAGTTGCCCACTTGGAGCATTCGATAAACCACGTCAGAAGCTTGTTGTTCGGGAAGGCTATCGGTTGCATCTGTGAAGTAAGGAAACATGATAATGTGTTCCAGTAATAATTAGAAATCGATGCACAACCTAAAATAAAATAAAATAAATAAGGAAATGAAAACAATAAAGTAAACAATAAACAGTATTGTAAGAGGAGAGGGAAGGGGGGACTGATGTTCGTATCCAGTGGCACTGTCCTCGTATATTCGACTGGTCTTATACAGACTCTCGAGGGTTATGGTAGAATAGATAGCTTGCTTGAAAGAATTATTGAAAAAGAAATAAAACACACTAGGCAAAATATCAAATAAAAGCCGCAGTTCGACTTGGTGGAGGCACTGGAATTAAGGTTTTTACAGACCATCTTGTGAAGACCCTGTAACTCCGTTACGAAGAGGATATTCGGACCATTTGGCAGCTTCCTCACAGCTTTACAATTTTCGACAGAGTGAGTCCTGTTATACGCCATGAACTAATAAAAGGAACTAGCAAAAGTGCAAGATGCCCCCTCCAAGCCGGACTGCGCCAAATAAAGCAAACAATAATAATTTCCAAGTCTCGTTTGTCGTCATATATTCAACTGTTTGTACGGCAAGAGTAGAGGCAGGAGATAAACAAAAACGTGAAAAAGGGTCTGCACCCCTGGTCTAGGAGCAGTGCGAACGGAAGCCACTTTCGACCACCCCCCCTCCCATTAATTCTTACTTGTTCGATTTCCCATCTTACAATTAGCCAATGATTTTTTTCACTGATTTTCTCTATGCGCCTCTTGGGAATTTACATTTTCCTAAAATGCGAAACTTTATGTCAACATCTGTAATACTAGACCACTTGATCCTCACTCTGAAGAAACTCGCCATGGTGAAGCGTTCGTCATCGTTAAAAGTTGGGCTGAGCCGGGGATCGATCCCGGGACCTCTCGCACCCTAAGCGAGAATCATACCACTAGACCACTCAGCCACGACGTGGCGAAGACGTCGACTCGTAAATGTCGCAATTGATCACGTACGTCGGCACTTTTTCACGCAGCGCAGATTGCCCGTAACAACTGCGCAGATACAATCGAAACACTTGCACTGGTGGGCTATAGATATTAGAGATCACCCTCCGTTCCCTGTTCAGGACGATAACCCAAAAACTGATTTCA